GTTGGGCCATGTTTAAGCACAGAACTAACCCCTTCCTTGTTTTAACCCCAGCCCACCTGACCCCCTTGACCTCCCTCCATTCATTCCTCTGGAGAGCCTTTGTCCCAATCAGAAACATAGTTTTACAATTCCCATTGCTTGTACAACATGCCCTTCCCTATACCTGGAATTTTTGCAGGTTCATTCATTCCAAAAAGGTAAATTAGGCACCGTAACCTCCTTATTGCTGTCAGTATTTCTCATTTGTATCTGCCTTTGAAGGTCCATCTCAAGTCCCAATTTCTCTTGAAATTCCTCATTACATTATCTCAACTGGGCCTTCTCTGCACCTGAGTAGTTTGTTTGTTGTTGTTGTTGTTTTTGGCTAGGCAGTGGGGTTAAGTGACTTGCCCAGGGTCACACAGCTAGTAAGTGTTATGTGTCCCAGGCCGGATTTGAACTCGGGTCCTCCTGAATCCAGGGCCGGTGCTGTATCCAGTGCACTATCTAGTTGCCATATGAGTAGTCTTTTCATACCTCCTTAATTGAGTCACTCTCCCTCTCACCACAGTGGCTTTTCCAGACCTTTTTCTCCTCTCACCTGAGAATCTTGCTTTGTATTCCACTTTAAAAAAAAGACAGTTTGCCAAGAGCTGCCCCTTCCTCATCTCTCCCCACTCAGATGCCTCCCATGAAGGGCGGCCCTTCTCCGTGACGCCCTCTTGGTCTCGTCCCCTCCCATTTCTCTAGCAGGCTGTGCCCCTCATTGTGAAGCTCGCTGATCTCTAATCTCGCCCCACCATTACCTGCTGTTCTGATGCCTTCATCCTAAAATCCTCACTCGAGCCAGCCGTCTCTACTAGCCGTGGTTCTCTTGTCTTTCTATCCCTTTTGTGTCTTTACTCCATGAGAAAGCATCTTCAGTTGTTGTCTCCACTTTCTCTCCTTTCACTTGATTCTGAAAGCATTCAACTAAAACAACTATTCTTTCCTAAGTTAGCCATGACCTCTGTTTTTTTAAATTAAGGTTTATTTTTTTCAATTAGCAAAAACGATTTTTCTTTCCCTCCCACTCCCCCCTCTCACTGAGACCATTATTTTCTTAATTGCCCAGTCTGATGACCTTTTCTCAGCCTTCAACGTTCTTGGCCTCTCTGCAGAGAGCCTTTGGCACTGCCAGTCATCATCCAGATCCCTTCTCTCCAGGTTTGCACAATACTTCTCTCCTGATTCTTCTTCTCAGGTGGTGGCGCTTCAGTCTCTGTTTACTGAATCCTCATCCGGGTCATTCCCACTAAACATGGCTACTCCCCAAGGCTTTGTCCTGGGCCTTCTCTTCCTCTGTCCTATCTTGCCTGGTAACAGTAGCTTCCCATGGGTTCAGTTATCTTCTCTATGCAAATGATTGCCAGGAGTTTTTGCCCAACCCTTACCTTTCTTTCCTGAGCTCCTGTTTGGCCTCACCAACCACCTCTTGGACCTCTTCAATCGAGCAAGCTCAGACGCAACAAAGCAGAACCGCTTAGCTTTCCCTGGGTCCCTGCTGAGTCTCCGCTTTGCATCCTTGGCATCATCCTTTACTCCTCGTCCACATTCACCCTTTATCCCATCTGTTGTCAAAAGTGTGCCTTGGGGGGCAGCTAGGTGGCACAGTGGATAAGGGATCTGGCCTTGGATTCAGGAGGACCTGAGTTCAAATGTGGTCTCAGACACATAACACTTACTAGCTGTGTGACCCTGGGCAAGTCACTTAACCCCAATTGCCTAACACCCCCCCAAAAAAGTTTGCCTTGTCATTGTCTTGCGTCTCGTTTTTGTCCTCATCTTCTGCACGCAGCCGCCTTGCAGACACAGGCCCAGGCCCTCCCATCTTACGCTTTTAGACTGTCGTCGCCTGGTTGGTCTCCTGCTCCTCAGGTATTCTTCTACTCCAGTTCCTTTTCCACACAGCTGCCCAAGCGAGTTTCCTGAAGGGCAGGTCTAATAATATCTTCACCCTCCCTCGTTCAGTCAACTCCAGTGGCCCCCCAACACCACAGATATAAAATCTTCTGTGAGCAGAAGCTCTTTATACCCTGGTTCCTTCCTCCCTTTCCAGTTTTCTTATACCTTATTCCCCTCCACATTCTCTCCTACCCAGCAACACTAAGTCAGCAATCCTTTAAAGCTCCTACTGTGTGCATACAAAGAGCTTACAGTCGAAAGAGAGGGGAGAAAGGAAGAAGGCAGCCTGCCTTGTAAGCAGTGAAGAGATGGCAGGCCTAGGTTAGCAGGCCGGCTCCTCAAAGGGAGATTTTGGGACTCTGCCCTCCTCTCTGAGGGAGGGTGGGCCCCACTTGCCAGGAGGACTGACCGGTGTGAGCCTCTGGGCTATTGTGATCTTTCAGGTCTGAGTTCTAGAGGTGAAGTGATCTTGGAGGATGAAGAAGTTTCAGGGGGAGAAGTCCCGGAGTATTTCTCCATCTCCCAACCTCAAACCTGGGATTCTCGGCTCCAACACCCCTGCCTCTTAGCTGTCTTAGCTTCCTTCAAGATTCAGCTCACATCTCGCCCTTTGTCTCTTCCAAGTCCTCCCTTTCCATCTCCCCCCTGTGCTACCAGTGTCTTTCCTGTTGTGATTACCTTCTGTTTACACTGAATCTACTGTTCTTTTCAGGTTGTCCCCCCATGAGGGTAGGCGCTTGCATACATGCATAGAGAGAGACATACACATATGTGTATTTCTCCCATTCTGTCTGTTATCAGATCAGCTCAATGCAGTCTGACTCTCAGTCTTATCACTCAATTGAAATGGTTCTTTCCAAAGTTACTAATGGACATTTTCTTTATTTTTTTAATTAATTAATTTTTTTGTTTTCACAGTACCTCCGTCTTCCACTTTATCCCTCCTCCCGCTCTTTCCCAGAGAGCCATCCATTATAATAAAGAATTTAAAAAATTTTAGCAGAAGTAACTGGCGCAACCAAGACATTGTAGAAACCCCGCGCGCCCTGTACTTCCCCACATGGCCACTCGCTGCTGAGCGGACCCAGGGAGGCCTCGCTTGGGGGTTGTAAGTTCACGGTTTTGTGAGTGGAGCCTTTTCTCATGTGGTTGTTGTGGAGAACTGTCTGTTCTTATCCTATTGAGGAATGACTTCTGGTCTTCAGTCTGCCAGTTCCCTATGTCTTGTATATCAAACTTTTATCAGAGAGTTTTATTGGAGGTTTATTTTCTGTTTTTATCACCTATTTGCCTCCTTATCCTAGTTCTTTTAGTTTTGTTCATGCAAAAGCTTTGTGATTTTATTGTAATCAGAATGAATTATTTTATCTTTTGTAACCATCTCTGTCACTTATGTGATTAAGAATTCATTTGCTGCCCATAACTGTGGAAGGTGTGTGATCCACTTTTTTTTCTCATTGATTACATGGTTTTTAATAAATCGGGTCATGTATCTGTTTTGAATTTTTGGAGGTATGTGGTCCAGGAGACTGGTCTAAACCTAGTTTGTGCCAGCTGGCTTTTCACTTTTCCCGGCAGTTCTTATCAGATGTGGAATTCTTTTGTTTGTTTGTATTTTGTTTTTTTGGTGAGACAGTTGGGGTTAAGTGACTTGCCTAGAGTCACATAGCTAGTGAGTATTATGTGTCTGAGGCTGGATTTGAACTCGAGTCCTTCTGACTCCTGGGCTGGTGCTGTATCCACTGCGCCACCTAGCTGCCCTAAGATGTGGAATTCTTTACTAGGTAATTTGCTTCAGGTTTATCAGACTGGGTTATTAGAGTCAGTTATTTTTGATTCTTCCTTGTCTAATTTTTTCTGATGATCTACTTTTTTACTTTTAAACTAATACCAAAATGGTTTTGACGATTTATAATTTAGTTTTAGGTCTGGAAGCTCTACCCTTCAGTCCTACCCTGTCATTTCTCTTGATATCCTTGATCTTTTGTTTCTTTAAATGAATTTTCTCATTATTTTGTCTAGCTTGTAAAGTGTCCGTTTGGTAGTTGCTGTAACACTAAACATGTACATTAATTTTGGTAGTATTGCCACTTTTATTAGATGGCGCAGCCCCGCTGTGAGCACTGACCATTCTTCCGTTGTTCATTTCTTTAAGGAGCATGTAGTGATTGTGTCTGCCATAGCTTTGAGGGTGCTTGGGTAGATATGATCTCTGAGTTACCCAATCTGATGGCCTCTTCTCTGGCCGAGTTCCCCTTGACTGTCCTCTCCTTCTTGGGAGCTCTGATTGTCCTCTGCTTAGGTCTCCTTAGTCTACTTTGTGGACTCACCGTCCATATCCCACTTCCCCAACTTGGGTGCCCAGTTCATCTTCTGTAGTACGTTACTCTGCCACACCAGTCGTCCTTGAAAATAGAGCTGGTCAGGCCACTTCTCTGCTTGGAGTCCTTGAGTATTCTCAAAGATGTCCCTTTTGCCCGGGAGGTAAAGTGGGAGCATCTCATGCTTCTGGCTTTCTCCTGTGGCTGTTCTCTGGCTCTTTCCTGTCTGCGATGTTTTCCTTCCTATTCCTCTGCTTGGAAGCCTGTCCTGAAATCCCAGTTCAGTTGCCCTTTCTTCACTGATGGCCTCCTTGCCCCACCGTGGGCTGTGGTTTTCCTCCTCTTAGGCCTTAGGGGCACTTTTTCGCTGTTCTCTTACATTTATAGAAGAGGCCCCACTATTACAAGGTAAGTTCAGTGAAAGGCACCGTGCTCTCTCTGCACTGGGGGTCTCCATCAGCGCCTCACCCAGTGCTCTGCCAATGAGAGTGGCTTGATGGGGATTTTCATCAGACTGCTTGGGTACACTGGTATCGCCAGTGCAGTTTTCTTGCCTGATCAGTTTGAGGCCGAGGGTGGGGGCCACAATTTTATTCCTGTGGTTATTATTACTTTTCACTTATTTTCACAGTTCACAATAATTATTATTATTCACAGGTTGTTTCCCTGTGAAATGTGTGTAGACCCTCCTCAGGCGAAGACAGGCCAAAGTACTGTGACTTTTCTTTGTAATTCTCTTTCTTTTGATCCTTTCAGTCAAGCTGCTGTTTCAGCCCAGGCCACATCCAATACTGACCCAGCCCGACCTGCTGCTGCTCAGGCTCCCGGTCTGGCCAATGTCCCTGCCCAGGACCCCCTGCCCGGCCCGAATGCCAGGGCGCCAGACAACCGAGCCCTGAATCCGAATGTGCAGATGAATGCCCAGGGAGGCCCTGTGGTCAATGAGGAGGACTTAAACCGAGACTGGCTGGACTGGATGTACACGTTTTCTAGAGCCGCTATCCTCCTTAGTATTGTGTACTTCTACTCCTCCTTCAGCCGCTTCATCATGGTCATGGGTGCCATGCTGCTGGTCTACCTGTGAGTAGAATTCATTCCGCGTGTGCACGTTCCCTGCCTCCTGCCGAGCCCTGCCTGGGCTTTCTCTGAGTGGCAGAAACAAAGAGTCTCTCCCCCTCCATCAGAGCTCCTTTATCTGATGGGTGCCCTTTCCTTCTGCCCTGGCCCACACGAGCAGCAGCTGAGGACTTGAGGTTCTTCGGTGAGCGCCAGGCAAAGTCTGCCCTTTGCAGATGGCGCTTTCAGTACCAAGCCCTCCAGGTAGGGCTTGGAGTCTTTGTGGGCAAGGTGACCTTTCAGTGGTTTCTGAAGTTTCACTGATCTCCGGAAGATTCCTGGGCCTAATGTGCTGTCAAAAGAGCCGGTCAACAGTTTAAAGTACAAATGGGCCCTCAGACTACAGTTAGTTCCTTTCCTGGGGAGAAGCCCTTGGGGGGGGGGTGTGGCCTGAGGCGTGAGCCATGGCACAGATCCTAGCTGCCCGAGGAAATCACCCGTGAATAGGTGATTTCACCCACTGTTGGATGGTGCAGCCATTTCTGATTTCTAATTCTTTTTCTCCTTGTGCTGCTGCGTAGACACCAAGCTGGATGGCTTCCCTTTAGACAAGAAGGAGGGCAGCTCCAGGTCCCCAATAATGCCGATGTGAACCACGATGGGCAGAATGGGAATAATCCAGACCTTGAAGAAATGGTATGTTGGCCCGGAGCTCAGGTCTCTTAGTTACTTGTTTCCCATTCTGCCTTGCGTCCAGGGCAGCTCAGTTTTCTCCTCCTAATTCCTGAGGCTAGAGCAGGCCAGCAGGTTACAACGGGCAGTGAGGACTGGCCCCTGCGCACTTCCACCTCCCCTGTTTGAGTCCCGAGCATGGACCCTTGGTCGCCTCTTTCCGTAAGGCTGGGGTGTGCAGCCACCCAGGTTCCTTTCCTTTCTATTCAGATCACACTCTTCCGTCTTCCCTCTGGGGCTCCAGGGAAAACGGAACTGGGCGAGTCCCTCACAAATGTGGTTTTTGTTTGGTTTGAAAGGAGCGTCTGATGGATGACGGACTTGGCGATGAGAGTGAAGAGGATGCCGGGGAGGACGCCGGGGCTGGGCCCCAGCCTGGGCTCATGGCTTCAGCCTGGTCCTTTGTCACCACCTTCTTTACTTCACTCATCCCGGAAGGGCCTCCCCAGGTCGCCAATTAGACCTGACCACCTGTGCCAGCCAGGAACGAGCTGTACTGAGAAGTGGGTTTGACTGGAGGGGAAGTGTTTTAAATAACAGTGCAATTTCAAGAAAATTTATAACTTTCTTTTGATCATGTTGTAAAAAAGTGTTTTTTTTTCCAGCTTCTCATGCACATGAATATTTTCAGCACAAGTGAGCTACAAAATATGTGCTTTTTTAAACATCCTTTAAGGAGGAGCACAGTGTGACAATGTTGGTCTTCCATGTTTTATTCATTTCAATTACGGATATTATAGCAAGAAAATAATTATTGTTAGTGCATATTATTCCTTTAAAGAGCTGTTTAAAATGTAAATGTCTACAGCAAGGAGCCTTGTCTGTGGTCCTTGAACAATGTGAAATTTGAATAAGTACGCCTATTTTCTGTGAACAACCCTCAAAGTTAAGAAGATGATTTTTATACTTAACAGTTTTTCCAAAGAATGCCCGTCACACAAAATGTGCTAGCGTTATCTTTTCTTCTGCAGTACAGCAATAAAAACCTTCTTAATGCTTCTTGAAAGCTTGACAGTTTTTAAACAAGTTTTCTGATGCCAGAATCAATTACGGAACTTTTCTTTTGTAGAATATGCCCTATTAATTGGAACTAACCCTTTAAAAACAAATAAACAAGCAGCTCTTCAAGGGGATTAACAGTGACGTTTGATTCATTACAAATGTTTGATATATACAGTACTTTTTATAAAATGAGATGTACTGGAAATCAGTCCCTGTAATTAGTTTTTTTAATAAAAGGTCAATTACAGTAACTGTTTGTGGAATATTTATTATATCATTTTCAGTAGCTTGCCATTACACTTCAACCCTTGTGGTAATCAGCATAATGGTTTAATTGAAGACAGCAGGAAAAGCCTCAAGGTCAGAGGTCAGCTTATACAAGCAGGATAATCAAATTCAGGGAGTGATTGTGAGACGACCAATTTAATACTGTGCTTCCTTATGGAGAAGCATTTTTGCAAAACTCGATTAAAACCAGAAAACTGCTTACTGGCGATATGGAATTGTCTGTCCTCTGCTCTTCCTGGTAGAGCTGGAGATGGGCTGTTCCTATTTTTCTCTCTAATTTCCTCTTTTATGTTGTCTGAGCCAGCCTTTCATTTCTTATGATATCCACATTCACAATCATAAAGTCTGATTGTTTCTTAATACCTATGCCCTGGCCCCTGATAACTGGAATTTCCTGATTTTAATTCTTAGTTTAATTCCAATAACAACTTTCACATATTCACTTCTGTGGGGTTATAGTCTGATGCTTCCTTGAGGTGATCCCAGGTACTCGGAGGTTACACGAGTGTAGGGCAGGCTCTTGGGGAGGCATTTCCTAAGATGCTGCGGCAGCTGAATCTGCTGGTGTCAGAGAGGGTTCATCCCTGTGAGATGGTTACTTAGGGCAGCCCGCCAGACAGGTGCTGAGTGGCCGTGTTCTGTTGTGACAGTGGAGAAGTTGTGGAAATGGGGGGTGCAGAAGAAAGGAGGAGACGAGGATTTATTAAGGGCATACTAAGGTTCAAGTGTCAGCTGCTTCTCCCGTTTACCCCCTCATACTGTATAATTATCTAATTGAACACCCTCAGGTGAGAGCTGGGTGACAGGTGGATGAGCAGTCCCCAGAAGGACTTGGCAAGCCCTCGTACTGATAGTCGACACCAAGAAAACAGGTTCTCTACCAGCCAGCAGGGTGCTATCCATACACGGAACCATCAGTTACAGCAAATGGGAGAAATTTTGAATTCTGTGGATAAGTTCACTGACCTCGGCAGTATGTTTTCCAGGGCTGTCCACATAGATGATGAGGTTGACACTAATGGCCACAGCCAGTTCAGCTTTTGGGAGACACTGAAGGAAGGTGTTGGAGAGAACCACCTCCACGCCTCCCACGTTGAAGGTCTACACAGTGGTTGTAGGCCTGTCAAGCCTGGGCAGTCTGCCCGCGCCATGCCAGGAAACAGAATCACTTCCATTTGAACTGTCTTAGGAAGACTCTGAAGATCCTCTGGCAGGAGAAGGTGCTGGACACTGAGGTCCTTTCTCAGACTAAACTGCCGAGCATTCAAACTCTGCTGCAGAGAGTGGGCTGGCCACGTTCGAATGCCAAACCTATGTTTGCCTAGGTCTCTCTGAAGAACTTTGGAGTTATTGCACGGGAGGCACCGGCACAGGACTGGCCAGCATGGCATGCCCTCATCAGAGGAGGCAGAATTGTAGCTCAGAAGAAACATGCAATGCACACATTTTTTAAAAATTTATTATTATCATTATTATTATTATTATTATTATTAATATACATTTATTTATTTTTAGTTTTCAATATTCACTTCCACAAATTTTTCAGTTCCAAATTTTCACCCCATCTCCCCCCTTCCCCCACCCCAAGATGGCATGCATTCTGAATATCCCTTCCCCTAATCTATCGTCTCTTCTATCTCTCCCCCTTCTCTTATCCCCTTCCCCTTCTATTTTCCTGTAGGGCAGGATAGACTTCTATACCCCATCTCCTGTATTTCTTATTTCCCAGTAGCATGTGAAAACATTTTTTTTAAACATATGTTTTTAAAACTTTAGGTTTCAAATTTTCTCTCTTCCTCCCTCCCCACCCACCCTCATTGAAAAGGCAAGCAACTCAATATAGGTTATACATGTGCAGTTATGCAAAACACTTCCATAGTAGACATGTTGTGAAAAACTAACTCTATTTCCCTTAATCCTATCCTGCCCTCCCATTTATTCTATTCTTTCTTTTGACCCTGTCCCTCCTCAGAAGTATTTACTTCTGATTACCCCCTTTCCCAATCTGCCCTCCTCTCTATCATCCCCCTGCTCTCTTGTCCCCTCTCCCCTATTTTCCTGTAGGGTAAGACAGATTTCCATACCCAATTGAATGTGTATGTTATTCCCTCCTTAAGCCAAATCCTATGAGAATAAGATTCACTCATTCCCTCTCACCTTCCCCTGTTTCCCCTCCACTGTAAGAGACTTTTCTGTTTTTTTGTGAGATAATTTACCCCATTCTACCTCTCTTTCTTCTTCTCTGAGTATAATCCTCTCTCATCCCTTAATTTTATTCTCCAGATATGACCCCTTAATCTTCAACTCACCCTGTGCCCTCTATCTATCTATCTATCTATCTATCTATCTATCTATCTATCTATCTATCTATCTATCTATCATACATATAATTTTTTTCCTCCAACTACCCTAATACTGACAAAGGTCTCATGAGTTATAAATATCATCTTTCCATGCAGGAATGTAAACAGTTCAATCTTAATAAGTCTCTTATGATTTCTCTTTCCTGTTTACCTCTTCATGTTCCACTTGAGTCCTGTATTTGAAAGTCAAATTTTCTATTCAGCTCTGGTCTTGTCATTAAGGATGCTTGAAAGTCCTCTATTTCACTGAATAACCATTTTTTCCCCTGAAGGATTATACTCAGTTTTGCTGGGTAGGTGATTCTTGGTTGTAATCCTATCTCCTTTGCCCTCCGGAATATTATATTCCATGCCCTGCGGTCCTTTAATGTAGAAGCTGCTAAATCTTGTGTTATCCTGATTGTGTTTCCACAGTACTTGAATTGTTTCCTTCTGGCAGCTTGTAATATTTTCTCCTTGACCTGGGAACTCTGGAATTTGGCTACAATATTCCTAGGAGTTTTCCTTTGGGGATCTCTTTCAGGAGGAGATTGTGGATTCTTTCAATTTCTATTTTGCCCTCTGGTTCTACTATATCAGGGCAGTTTTCCTTGATAATTTCTTGAAAGATGATGTCTAGGCTCTTTTTTTGATCATGGCTTTCAGATAGTCCAATAATTTTTAAATTCTCTCTCCTGGATCTATTTTCCAGGTCAGTTGTTTTTCCAATGAGATATTTCACATTGTTTTCTAATTTTTCATTCTTTTGGATTTGTTTTACAGTGTCTTGATTTCTCATAAAGTCACTAGCTTCCAATTGCTCTATTCTAATTTTTAAGGAAGTATTTTCTTCAGTAAGCTTTTGGACTTCCTTTTCCATCTGGCCAATTTTGCTTTTTAGGGCATTTTTCTCCTCATTGGCTTTTTGGACCTCTTTTGCCATTTGGGTTAGGCTATTTTTTAAGGTGTTATTTTCTTCAGTATTTTTTTGGGTCTCCTTTAGCATCACTCTCAGTTTTTCCTCTACTTCTCTAACTTGCTTCTCAAAATCGTTTTTGAGCTCTTCCATGGCCTGGGACCAATTCATATTTTTCTTGGAGGCTTTGGATGTAGGGGCTTTGACTTTGTTGTCTTCTTCTGGTTGTATATTTTGATCTTCTTTTTCACCCAAGTAAGATAATATAGTCTGACTCTTTTTGCGCTGCTTGCTCATGATCCCAGCCAATTACTTGAGTTTTAAACTCTTTGTTAAGGTATGAATCTGCTTCCAATGTGGAGAATGTATTGTCCCAAGCTTCAGGGGTTTGTACAGCTGTTTTCAGAGATACTTGTAGGGACCTGTAAATTTTCAGTTCTTCCAAGGTGGTATGATAAGGGGCAAGGTGTTTACTCCTTTCCTGGCCTGCGACTACAAGTACTCCTTTCTGTCCTGTAACTGTGATGAGGGGCACCACAACCACTACAAGCTCCACCAAGCCAGCGCTCCTCCTCCCCCCAGCACCGCTGCCCAGAACTGTGACCCAGATCCACACACGGGCAAAGCAAGAGATCCCTGCCTCAGCACTGGCAAAGAGATCCCTGCAATCCCTCTCTGATCAGCCACTGGATTCCCCCTCAGTCTGTGGGCCGGAAGCTCGGGAAGCAGCTGCCCCCCCCAGGGCCACGCTCTTGGGGAATGGAGCTAAAACCCGGCCTTCCTCTCTGAGCACCGACAGAAACAGACTTTTCCCACTGACCTTCTAAGTTGTGTTTGGTATTTGTGGATTGAGGAGTCTGGAAACCTCCACAGCTGCCCGCGATTCAGTCCTCTGAAGCCCGCTCCAGGTTCACTGTGGCCTGCGCTCCCAGCCCGGTGTGATACACCTTTCTGATCAATCATCCAGGTTGTCTTGGCCTGGAAATTTGTTTCACTCTGTCTTTTTGTGGGTTCTGCTGCAGCCATTTTTTATGAGTATCTGGAGGGTTTGGGGGAGAGCTCACGCAAGTCACTGTTTTCACTCTGCCATCTTGGCTCCGCCCCCCCAATCCCTCAATGCACAAATTGAGAGATGTCTCCACTCCCAGTGTTCATACGGGGCCTGTCCTGTGGTAGAGCCCTCTGAGCTTGTGCTGTGGATCAGCCATAGTGGGACACGGTGTACCTTGTCCCCATACAAAGGGCAAACAGCAGCAGGTGAACACTGATTATAGGAGATCATTCTCCTTAATCGTCCTCATAAGTGCTTTCCTCCTTCTCTCTTTTTCTGCTTTTCTTCTCAGATCAGTAATGTGCACTGATGATGATAAGCTGATGTTCATGCAGCTGTGCACCAGGCACTGTGCTGAGCACTTTTGTTGTTATTCAGTTGTAAGTCACGTTCAACTCTTTGTGGCCCTGTTTGGGGTTTTCTTTAGCAAAGATACTGGGGTGTTTTGCCATTTCCTTCTCATTTTACGGATGAGAAACTGAGGCAGAGGTTAAGTGACTTGCCCAGGGTCACACAGCTAGGAAGTGTCTGAGGCTATCTATGAACTCAAGTCTTCCTGACTCCAGGCCCAGTACTCTATGCTCTGTGGTGCCACTGAGCTACCCTCATAATAGAAAAAAGTTTCTTTCTCACTCCATCTGGCCATTGCCTGTG